AGAATATACTTTTTTAATAAATAAACAGAGCATCCACTAAAAATAATGTTTAAAGCGATAAAATCTGTCGGCTTAATAAATAAAAAATCCATTACGTTTGGATACGAGAATCTATGATGCGAAAAAATTTCGATTAAAGGCATTATTCATATATATATATATGTATGTATATATATATATATATATATATGTGTGTGTGTGTGTGTGTGTGTATGTATATATGTGTGTGTGTGTGTATGTATATGTGTGTGTGTGTGTGTACAAACATGGGGAGAGAGAGAGAGAGAGGGGATAGGCGAATCAGAACAGATATTCAACTGCGAAGTGAACTAAGTTCTTTTAATTATTGTTCTGTTTTAATTTTGGTTTGCGTAGTACGAGTTGCTTCCAAACCTTAACCAGAGACTACAAGAGCTAACAAGCTTTTTCTTTTCTTTGTATCAGAAGATGCAAATAGATGAGATGCTATTCAATATGAAATTTTTAGAAATATACGCCATATGTGATATCATTCCCAGAAATTATGGACTAAATACGTGAAGAGCGACACAGTTTTAGGAAAAAATGAGGAGGAAGGACATTTCAAATAATTTCTGGAAACATTGGGACATTGCTCTAATGATTGGACGAATTAGTCCATGGCAAGGGGAAAAAATCAAAACACTTACAACAATAAAATTCGTGAATTGCCACATTGCTATATTCAAAAACGTTCACTTACAATATTCAAAATAAAACTCGAGCGTCGCTACATTGCACACTCCAAAATTTTGTAACTGTTAATAATAACACAGTTTAAAAAAACATCTTTCGACCGCTATTACATTTATTTTCGTCTCAGAAGTTTACCGGAATTACATGAAATTAAAAAATAATATCCATGCATGAAGATGATAAAAGCATTCATCGAAAGTACTTGCATATGGACTGAACATCTAATACATTTACAATTTTTAAAAACAAAGATCGCCTCATTCAACGAGTGGTTAGTGAGTTAATGCTTTATTTAATCTGTTAGCGAAGTGAATTCGCCATTAATTACATTAACTTTACTGATTTATTCTTCGTATGACTATTTTTTATAATATTAATTACACCGCACCATTTAATTTATATATATATATATATATATATATATATATATATATATATATATATATATATAAAAGTGAACATTGAAGTCAACACTTAGAGGCGACAGGCAGTGTGGCCTGACGATTGTGTCTAGCATGAAACAGCCTGTCGCCTCTAAGTGTTGACTTCAATGTTCACGTTTATGTTTACACACGCTGTATCTCTGATATTGAACACTTTATCCCATAAATATAGCACATCTTAAGAGTATATTTCTTCATATATATACATATATATATATATATATGCATGCGGTTAGAACTTCTACTCTCTGACCATGAGACCCAGGTTCGAATCTCAGCATGGTCGAATTGTCAAGAAGGTGAGTTCTTGATCTTATCGCTCTGGAGGAGACGATCCCAGTGTGCGCCATCTTTGGAAAACCGTACCACGGTTTGACCCAAGCCTTGTGAGCGGAATTGTGTAGACGGGACCCATGGGAACCCGCGGTGGTTGTGCTAGCACGGTCGTAAGTCATCGTGACCCAGGCTTACAGCGTGCTAGTCTTGTTCAAACTGTAGATAACGCGCTCTCTCCCTCCCAGAAACTGTAACTAAGGCCTGCTGAGCATAATTGTGGTATAAAATACAGGTGGACTCTGTGGGTATTGAGTAAACACAAATATGCCTGAGTAGTCGTCCTAGTAGATTGGGATTCGAGTGGCTGCGTTAATATAAAATAAGATATATACACACACACACAGAAACACACATAGAGATACACACAGACACACACACACGCACACACACACACACACACACACATATATATATATATATATATATATATATATATATATATATATATACAACTTATATGTTTGTCACTTCTTTTGTACCTTTAGCATTCCGACTCCAGAGTTTCGTAGGACTCTCAGGGGATCACTTCATCCACTCGTCAGGAGTATCAGAAATTGAGTCTTTATACTTCACGATTTTTCTTTTTTTATATTTACTTTTCATTGGGGCAAGTTTTTTTTTTTTTCCGTAGTGTATGTGTGCGTGCAATAATTAGGTACCTCTCTAAAGAAAAGATAATTAGATACTTCCGCCCCCGCCATACAAAATGATACCTGAATTTTTTTTAAATTGAAAAATCTTTCTTCAAGCTTTTATTTTCATTTTAATTTCAAGCTAATAGATTAAATTTAATATTTCCACTAGGCAAAATAGTTTGCTGTATTTCAAACCGTATTTAAATTGATTGAAATGAGTCAACACAACGTAATTCACTTTATTAAAAAAAAAAAAAGTCTTTCAAAAATAGAATATACTTTTCTGAAACTTTATTTGAGGAAGATTTAAAGTAGAGTTTATCAGAATTAACACATATATTACTTATTTTTAGTATAAAATATTGCAGAGAAATATTTTTCTAACACAGCCGTGGGTATTTTTATGAGTTGTTGACATATTAACTTAATGTTTGGTAATTTTAAGCAAAAGGCATATAACTGTAACAATTACTTGACGAATACAACTCAAACTTTTGTTATGTAATTTTTAACTACCCAATAATCTTAGAACTTAGGAAAATATTCAAAGTAATCTAATATTTTATTGAATTTTAAGTACTTTGCTGTTTGGTTTCACTTACGAAGATGCTTGTTGAGGAAATGTTTATAAAAGCAATTAAATCTTTTCCAATTAGTTAATGTCTTAATTTTATTGCATTTTTATTTTACAATTTAAAGTAGTTTTTCTGTAACTGGGAGTTCTGTTTAGCCCCAAAAGTTGATGATTTAAATTCTCCGAGGACTTCTCCTTATAACTAATATAAATATAGAGTGCTACAAAATTAATTTCTCAACATTTCATAAAATTAAAGAAGGGTAACAGATGTAAAAAAAAAAAAAGTATTTTTGCAAGAATTTACAAATCCATGTGTTTTTCACCGCAAAAAGAAGCTCAAATTTCCCATACTAACGCGTTGACACAAGAAAAACAACATTTTTAACCAAAATTTCGAATGTTCTAAAAAGGATTAAAAAATATAATTCAATAATCAAAAAATCTCTAGGTATTTCCTCTTAATAATACATAATAACTTTGACTGTATTGCTCTGTAACTAAGGTCTGCTCAGCATAGTTGCACTATAAACAAAAGGTGGGATCTGTGGGTGTTGAATAAACACAAATGCGCCTGAGCAAGCGTCTGAATAGGGATTGGCTAGCCAGCCTAGTAGACGGATATCCTCGAATACGAATGGTCAGCTATATATATATATATATATATATATAAATTAACTGATTTAAAATATGGATTTTTCGCTACACATTAATAACTTTAAAATTTAATTATATAATTAAATTAAAAGCATTAGTTCCGTAAAATATATATTAAAATATTTTGTGCTCTTAATTACTAATAGACTATATTTCTTTTTAAAACAAGTAAATGTAATAGAATTACTTAAATTATTTAAAATTAATTTTTCATATCAAATATAAGTATGTATATTACCAGCTCCTATTTTTTTTAAATTTTTTTTTAAATATTATCTAAGGAAAATTTTTGACAATAAAAGCAAAAAATAGCTATTTCATTTCTCTGATTCAGTAAATTTTTATTTTTTATAAACTTAGTAATATATAGTTTCTCATGTATGCACAAAGGACATGGGTCATTTAATGACTTACAAATTCTAGCTTTTTCTTATTAATTTCCATTTTACTGTAGGTGTTTTATTGGATTCTTTTAAGTGCCAGGCAGTTAAAAGAATCCAATAAAACACCTACAAAGATATTTTTAAATTGTAGTTAAATAAAACGTATTCTAACCCAAACACCCCTAAAAAGAATCTTTAAGTATATAAGTACGAAAAAAATGCCGAAAACGTTTTTGCCGTTAATAAAAAAAAAACCCTGATGTCATGCATTTAACGGATGTCAGAATTCGTTGAAAAATACACCCTAACCTCCCTAAACTTAACTTCTTTTTCGAACGTAACTCATAATTGATGCAACAATAGTTAATAAAAATGAACACGCTACCGCCCCTGTCTGAATGATTGGATTTCTCTGTATCCTTGGAAACAGGAAATTATGAATTTATGTGTGCGTTTAAAACTCAGTAAATTTAAAAATAAGTTATTCCAATATTCGATTGAAGATGAAACGGAACTAACGCTTTTAATTTAATTATATAATTAAATTTGAAGTTTTTAGCTTCAGTTTTTGAAACATGGTTATTACTGTGTAGCGAAAAAACATTTTAAATCAGTTAATTTATAATATTTATCTCTGTAAATTTACATTGAGCACTGTTTTGTAAAAATAAATCTCAATAAGAACACCGGATTATATATCATACTGTTCTTTATATATATATATATATATATATATATATATATATATATATATATATATATATATATATATATATCCCTCTTTCGCTGTTATTAATCACTTAGTTTTCTTTCTTTCTCTTTTAGTAAATCTTTTTTTACCTTTTATGGAAAAATTTCCAATGACGGACTTGGAAGATGTGATTCGTTAACTGTATTTCGGAATAAAATAATTTAGTAGCATCGTGATTTCCCAGCTGAAGAAACGTTACTTTTTAACGTTGAAACAAGATGTACAGTTTTGTAGTGGGTGTGTACATGTTCTAATGTAATAGTGCATAATAGATAGATAGATAGATAGATAGATAGATAGATAGATAGATTATCCAAAAATTTTATTCTGATGTTTAGTTATTGGAATTTTAAAACTTTACCTACGTGATTCATAATTGCATTAATGTTTAGATTCTCCCGAACAGTTCTTTTTTATTTCCTCTATTTTTATTCAGCATGACACTGCATTTTCTCTATTGACGTATTCTGTAAGCCATTATTAATATATATTCAGGACATCTTTATAATGGAAATGATGAGTTGGGAAACAAAGCCACATTGTATCAAAACTGAATAAAATGATTTTAACCATATGCCCCACCCTCCCCATTTTAGGAGAAGAATTGACGCCGTTTCCTAAGTGCTCAGGTGGAGTATTAGCACCCATTTTTTTTTACCAGACATAAGTGACCCGTTATTCTTCAGGAAGTGGGCAATCACGGTAGCCCGACGTAATGTTCGTCCCCTTACTGTAGATCCGACTCTCTGCTTGGCTATTTCCACAAGCTCGTTTGGTAAGTTTACCGGATGTTTCCCTTTGATTTTCTTGTTTTCAATATGTTCCGTGAGTATCAATTTCTCCAGGCTTCTTTCCTCATGTTTTTTTTTTCCTTATTCTTATACGTAGTGGAATATGTATATTTAGCCATTGCAAACAATTCCTAACTTTCTTTTTTGTTTTCATTCCATTTTTCCTTCCTTTCTCCTTCTTCTTTCATTCCTTTCTTTCTTCTCTCCCTTTTTTCTTTATTTCATTCTTCCTTCTTTCTTTCTTCTCCTTCGCATTCTTTCTTTCTTTCTTTCTTTCTTTCTTTCTTTCTTTTCCTCTCCGTTCCGTTTTCTTTCTTCTTTCTAGTCCTTCCTTCTCTCTTCGTTTCTTTCTTTCTTTCTTTCTTTCTTTCCCTTCCTGTTCCCTTTTCTTTCTTTCTTTCTTTCTTTCTTTCTTTTTCTTTCCATTCCTTTCTTCTCTCTCCTTTTCTTTCTTTCTTTCTTTCTTTCTTTCTTTCTTTCTTTCTTTCTTTTCTTTCTTTTCCTTCCCGTTCCCTTTTCTTTCTTTCTTCTTCTTTTCATTCCTTTCTCTCTTCTCTCTACTTTTCTTTCTTTCTTTCTTTCTTTCTTTCTTTCTTTCTTTCTTTCTTTTATTTCCCGCTCCCTTTTATTTATTTATTTCCCCATCCATTTCTTCCTTTTTTTTTTGTTCTTTCTTATCATGTATGATTTCTTTTTCTCGCTAAACCCAGACAGTATCTCTGAAATATCTTTTTCTTCCCTCTTTCCTAGCATTCAAAACGAAATGGTCCATTATTTATCTGAGTTAATAGCAGGACGAAACGGATGTGCGAAAATTGGAACACAAATAATAATAATAATAATAATAATAATAAATTAGCGCATTCTTTTTATTTCTTCCCATATTTATATACGAATATTTATATAAATAGTACAATAGATATGACAGACTTACAAGTGTAAAGCTCAATATCTGACGATAACAATCTCATAAATCCCTGCGACAAATGTAAACATTTAAATGCATTTTCACCTTCTTTTCCACCAGTGACAGCCAGACTGGTTTACACTGTTGTAGATTAACCACACACCCACACACAAACACGCATCTACTTAGCCATACACTCACATTCCCAAAACCTTAATTAACGACGGACCTTTCTCTCGACGTTATTATGTACAGGGGTATATGGAGTCAGAGAAGAAAATTCCCCTTGAAATGATGCGAAATCTATAGACAATATGGATGTTCATGCAAAAGGCGAGTTTTTGCTTTCTTGTTCAAATCTATTTTCAGCTTTTATATTAAGAGTTTTTTTTTTATATCCTTATATATCTTTTTTTTATTTATATCCTTTCATCATATTTACATATCGATCTCAATCTGCTTATATATATATATATATATATATATAAATATATATATATATATATATATATATCTCAGTCTGTTTATTATCTATCTATTTGGGGAGGTGACCCCAGCGTACGGTACTTTTAGAAAGTGAATACAAAACAAGCCACATGGTGACCCAAGCCTTTTGAATGTAAATGGATAGACGGAACTGTTCGGATGGTTGTGCCAGCACGAAGTCACAAATCATCGTGACCGAGGTATGAGCTCTCTCACAGAAACTGTAACTATGGTTCACTCAGACTATTTGCAGTATAATACGCAGCTGGGCTCTGTAGGTGTTTAAAACAAATATATCTGAGCAGGTTTTTGCGATAGGGATTAGATATGCTTACTAATAGACAGGTATGCTCGGAAAACGAGGAACAGAATGAAGAAGATATTCACTCGAAAAACAAGGAAAGAGCCCTCTTTTTAAATCAGAAACATGAACATAGATTTACAGTGAATTTTTTCCCTTCTGAAATGTGCCCTAGGGAAATTTTGATAATTAGTAGGAGAAATGATTAGTTTGTTAGTAATTTATTGTTATAGGCATATGCTACTATGGAAAAATATGTTCTTTCAATATTACTGAAAATGAAAAAACACTCATAGATCATACCTGCTTTTCTCTAACCTTTACAAAAGTCAAATCAGGCCGAAAATGAAGTACTGCTGCCATATATGGGCAGGAGCTATCAAGTCTTCGCTTTCTGCTCTCGATAGAATCCAAAAGCAGATTAGGTCTACCCCAGTGAGCGAAATAAAGCGTTCAGTTTGACATTCTAACCACCTGAATAAGGCCGGAGCGTACAACGGTCGAAACGTTGTAATAAATATGGCGACAAAGATGAGGACAATAGTCCGAATAATGTAAGACTTTGGTATTCAACGAAACACATGCATAAAATGGATAGATTCTGGATCAAGTCATTTCGATTGATTATCATGATGCCATACAGTCAGTTTTGTACCATGCGTGATACACGCTTAGGCGATCATGTATCTTTCGATACATTATTGACGAGGCAGATTATTTTTTACCCTCAGTAGGTTGCTACTTCTTTCTGCGGTAGACCAGTTACCATTCAGTTATCTGTCTTGCTATTTAACCTATAGCTGGGAGAGAAGAAGATTCCTACCTTTCCCAAGGGTATTAACACGTAGATGAATGTAATGGATTCGACTGATATTCGAACTCGGTTCTCCGATTCCTCAATCCGAACCGCTATCCATTACTCCACCGTACACGTTGGATAAACTGATTGATTGTATTATCAGACGCCACAAGTCCATTTCTGTCGCACATTAAGAAAGATGTACCATGCGTCAGCCCCGAAGGTGTCGTGCCCAAAAGGTAAAGAGATCAAGCAACAGATAAGCAAGTGCGTGATATTTACTGTAGCCCATCTTAATTCACCAAGAGAAAACAGGGACGTGGTTCGGTAGAAAGATACTGAGAATACTATGAATGGAACATGTGAGCAACGACAAACTTTTAAGGAAGATGAGAACATAATGAACTTAGAATCGATTTAAAGACAGCTGAAATTTCTGCGACACATAATAAGGAAAGAAAGCATGAAGAATTTAAGACTCACAGGACATAATGAAGGCAAAATGACCGGAGGGGCAACTGGGAGTAACCTACGTTTAAATGGACGACAGATGGGCACTAGGTCGTAACAGGACAAACGATACTTACAGCGACAAAAGATGGAAAGCCGTGGAGAGTTATGAACGTCAACGTCTTCGAAAAACCACGAAACGGAAAATAAGGAGATGTAGCTATATACATAAAATTATATTTTTCCTACGTATTTTTTTTCGGGGATTTGGTTTTTTTTTATTTGCTTTTTACTTTTTTTATTTTCTATTTTTTTTCTCTTATGGAAGAGTGGGCGGTGTTAAACTAAAAACAATCTCAATACCAACCTAAATTACCAAAAAAAAAAAAAAAAAAAAAGAACAACTCTTTTTTTTTCGCACACTACACGAGCAATGTCAAATTCCTGAGACGTCTTCGGCGATGTTTAGCTAAAATGCAAACAAAATGCTCAAGACAATCGTAAAGCCAATGACGATGAATAATGGATAAACACAGGCCTGCCTGGTAGGACTAATTTGAGAAAGGATACGGGCGACTGACTTGAGTTGGGGATCTAAACAAACGTTTTGCTAAACTCTCTCTCAGGGGTTTCATCGTGCCACACATCCTGGAGTGACTGCTTATGAACAACAGTCAACAAGAGACGATTTTTTTTAAAACGCTGAAAATAACATGGCACGTCGTCGGTAGGGCTGGTATTTACGAGGATATGCTCGAGATAGTATAACTCATGTTAACAAGAATACGTGTGTGCGTGTGTGAATGCGTGTGTGCGTGCGCGTGTGTGTGCGCATTTGTGTGTGTGTGCGCATGCGTGTATGCGCATGTGTCTGCGTGTATGTGTGTGCGTGCGTGTATGTGTGCGCGTGTATGTGCGCATATGCGTGTGTGCGCGGGCGCCTGTGCGTGTATGTGTCCGAGGTAAGCTGACACATTTTCTTGCTCGGTTTGAAATCGCTATTTATTTTTTTTTTTTTTAGTTCAAAGTTTTGTATTAAAGAACAACACCGACTCGATAAATTTTCTTTGTTCTCATCCGTATCAATTCATTTATTCCGTTTCAGAAATATCTTGGACGCGTCTACAGAGTCATCAAGTTTTTTTATTAGTAGTATTATTATTATTTCCGGTAGGTCTATGAAGGTTTGTGAATAGTCAGTCTTCTGAAGCATATGAGATCAATGCTGGTATCTCCCAAGTCTCTCTCTTTGGCCCTACGTTCTTTCTACTTTATATTAACCATCTACGCAGGAACATTTGCAGATCATTAGTATATCTCTATCCAGATAATACCACAATTGATGAGATCACCTCCCAGAGAGATCCCATACTTTGAATATTTACTGGAACTCAAGTTCACTCAAGGTTTCAAATAGAACTCATCCACGCGATCAAACCTAAGCTAATATTATTTCATCATCAGTGATCAGATCCTGAGATTTCTCAAGTCAAGATGAACTTGTGTACTCTCAAAGAGATTTCATGCTTTGAACGACTACTGGGATAGAGGTTCACTCCAGCCCACAACTGGAACTGATACATGCAATCAAATCTAAGCTAGTATTAGTTCATATATTAAGGATCAAATCTAAGCTAGAATTAGTTCATATATTAAGAATCAAATCTAAGCTAGTATTAATTCATATATTAAAGATCAAATCTAAGCTAGTATTAGTTCATATATTAAGGATCAAATCTAAGCTAGTATTAGTTCATATATTAAGGATCAAATCTTAGCTAGTATTAGTTAATATATTAAGGATCAAATCTAAGCTAGTATTAGTTCATATATTAAGGATCAAATCTAAGCTAGTATTAGTTCATATATTAAGGATCAAATCTTAGCTAGTATTAGTTAATATATTAAGGATCAAATCTAAGCTAGTGTTAATTCATATATTAAGGATCAAATCTAAGCTAGTATTAGTTCATCATCATTGATCAAAACCTAAGATTTCTCCCGTCACAATAAACGTTTGCAATTCAACCAGGTTCATTACTTTGAACGTCTATTGAGACTCAACTTTACTCCAAACCTTAGCACATAAATACGATCAGTTGTTAAAGATACTGAGAAAATGATCGGCTCGTTCTACCATTCCTTTCAGTAAATCCCCCTTTTTGTCAGCTTAATTAATAATTCTGGGGAATTCCCTTCTTCCACTCTCTCTTATTATTACCTCTCACTAAACCTGCTCAGTGAGCGTGGGTGGCTCATCCACCCACTCCTGGTATTTCAACTCATCTTTCGACTAGGAGAAATCAACTCCAAATTCGTTCTTTACGAAAATAAAGTTTTCGCTTTACAGCTTGCATTTTCAGCTGCGTAGAATACGTGTCAATCATCATTGTCCTCTAAGTCTTTTCCGTTGTTCAAACCCTCGACGCACCAATTCCAGGTGCCGTCTATATGTGAATTAAATCGTCAATCTTTTCCCACGGATTTTAGGCATTAACGCAAAGTCTTTCAGTATATCGCTTCTTCTATCCATAAGAAAACTTTCCAATGCTGTAGCGCGGTAACAACAAATAGTAACACACTTCTGGCATGCCTTATCTTTACACGAGTCAAACTGGATCGAAAATAGAGTATCGATGACGTATCTGGGCTGGATCTGCCCAACCCTAACTTTGCGCCTTGACAATGTTCCAAAATCCGTTACGCACTCTTGATGAGGATGACTTATGTTCCACTCTGCAGCCTCTTTCCCCAAAAACAG